GCGCTTATTAACTTTTTCTGCCTTTAGGATGGGTGCTCATTCGAGGTGGGGGATAAATCTTGGTTGGGCGCTTATTCAAATAAATACGGTACTCCAAGTAGGCTTTTATAGATTGTGCTTGTAAAAGTAGCATATTAGCCAGTAGCACTGCTCCTTTTTTGGCCAAATTATACTAAAATTATACTTGTTTTTCCAAATTATGCTACTTTTTTTTAAAATTTCTACGGTATGTATTTGAATAGTCCTGCCAGTTTTCCTCGCGATTGACTTCTCCATGGCAACAGGGTGACGCCATTGCTATTTTAACATTTCCTTGTCAATTCGAAAAATATCCGGAAATTCGTTTTTAATTAAAGCTACTTATAACACTTGCAGCTACAGCTTGTGTAACTATTTGAGCCGGAGCTGTACCGATGTTTTGAAGGGAGAGCGTGAGATCTCTGGTTGCATTTTTTGGCTACTTAATATATTAAACGAAACAATTCATATGCAAAGCTTTTCCTTTTCAACAAGTGAGTAAACATTTAGACAATACGTAGGAGTAAACTTTGGTGTCAAAACGTTTTTGAAGTTTTCAGCCATCTAAATGTACGGTTTGACACAGTTTTTGAGTAAAATGTTAGCCATCTTTCTTTTAGTTAAGTTCTTATCAGCCAGCCTTTTGGATCGAGTCTCTCTCAGCTAAATCTTATAGTTTTTAATGTGTTATCAGTTAAAACAATTTTGAAAGACCAGAGACGACAGAGACCCAGTTCGGTTTCTTACGAAATAAGACGAGTATGAAAAAAGTATTCCATCAATTGTCAACTTTTACTGATCATTTACTTAGTTATTCTTCATTATGATTTTGCTTAACATCTACAAAACTTTAATTCTTAGTGATCCAAAAATCTTTTTTTTTCTTGATCAAGGCGTGATTGTCCTTCCCGGATCTCCGTGAGTTTTGATACAGGACGACCTGCAGAATTTTTTGTTATAGCTTCGGTGTCCAAATATTCTCACAGCACGGTAGTATATGTTTGCCCAAATATTGCAATCTGCTCTTGGAAAGGAAAATGAATAGGACCACCAGAAGCCTTTTTTGCGCACTTTACGCTGCACTTTACTGCACGCCTTCCTCATATCGCGTAAGAACGCATCGTCGCAAAATTTGCGACTCCAGTCGATGTCGTCGTGTTTTGCCCCTCCCTACAAGATGCAAAATAACAATTACGATAGTGACGACAAATGCTATATTTTCTTTCCTTTTAAAAGTCTGGGACCCGAGTTCCGTTTCGAAGATTCGTAGTAACGTCTTGTTCTTTCTCATCTACTTACAATGAAGGGGCTATGCTATGAATAAATATGTACTTTTGTGTCGGTTTTGAAGAACTTTGACAAAAACTCTTCTTAAGAGCTGTACCTCCGCAAAAAAGTAATTGTTAGCAGATTGTGTGTTCAGTCAAGTGAAATGAGAACAAAAACGTATACTATTAAAACGTAGTACATAGTAACAAGCTAAGTTGTACCGTGGAGTCTGTAGACTTAGGCTAAAGAGTTTGGAAACCAAAATACATTTGAATATACGATGCTTACACAAATGTAGCACATATCGTGCTTGTCGCAAGATGAAGTGAAAATACAATTCAATCAGTTTATACTATAATTCTCTTTGACTGAACAGCTCGGTGATTTCAGCGAAGCTATGTGGGTGCAAAATGTCAAAACCTGGATAAAAAAATACACAATTTGGAATTGCTATCTATATACATTCGAGGTAAAAGTAAGGTTACGTAATACGTTAAAAAAGCAAGACATCCACAATTGGTACAAATTAAAAATGAGACGGTAAAAAACAGTTAATGAGAGTAGGTGGTGCAAGTTATGTCATTGCCGAAACACAACAGGCTCCCCAATCCGGGCCTCTGAATTAAATCAAAGGGATTAACGTAGCGTAATCCTAGAGGACAACCTTAAACAAACCTTAAACAAACTAAAGACCTATGAATGGAAAACCCTGTAGAGGAATAACAGAATCCCCAGAAGGAAACCCTGAGTGCATTGGCAATCATAGAACAATAAATTCTTTTGTTAACTAAAAAGTAGTAAAAAATGCAATTCAAAGGGTGAGATGTGTCAATTATAATTAATTATATTATTGGAATTAAATTCCGATCTTTTGTTAAGGCCCAGACGACGATCGAATAGTATCCCACAATGCACCTCGTTTCATGTTATATCATCACTGCGTACATCTACGGACGTGACATATCATGATCAGTATTCTTCAGCACGCGCGAAATGAACATCGCACTTCTCGATGTGGATGGTTTCCAAACATGGTTTGGTTCAGTTCAGTTCAGCAGCTTCTGCTTTTGAGAACATCGAGTTACCTTATATTCACTGTGCTTTAAAGGAGAATTTCAGCGTTACTTTGAAGGGTTTTACGTGTGTTTCACTTATCTGTCGAGAACTAAAAAGTACTTGTAACGGCTTGGAAACTAAAATTTCATCAGTTTTTTTTTGAATCAAAGGAATTGGCATGAATTTTATTCTGACATGCCAAATTAGCTTTAAAAACCAGCCCAGGAGTCACGTTAATAGCCTAGGAGATATTTCATAGGCTCAGGCATGAAAAAATACTCAATATCTTCATTAGTAATAAATTGTATATTCAGGGCATGTAAAATTCGGGCGCATGCCCTCGGTGGGCAAAAATGGCCCAGGTCATGTCAGCCCAGGCCTCTTGCTGATTGGGGAACTGAGCCCCAGACCTCTATCGGGCAGAAATTCGTGGTCGGCATGCCGGGCATGCCAAATATGACTTGGCATGCCCGGCATGCCTATTTCACAGGTTGGCATGCCCGGCATGCTCGGCATGCCAATTTGAAGCTTTAGCCGAAGTCGTCGTCGAGCCCAACACATTGCCAAAACGTTTGATTATTCTCTTGGAAAGATTATTGTTATTTTTGTTTATTCTCAGGGAAAGATAAAGGCCATCACCTAGTTTTGGAGAGGAAAATCAATACTAAACAGGCTGCGTTTTTATGCCGCTCGTGGTCATAAGCTGAAACATTTATCAGAGAGTGTTCACGCGGAACGGGAGCGAAGTCGAGTCATTATAAACAGTGGGGTCACTTTTCCACTGGTCAGAGTACAGGTCACCATGATAAAATGAAAAGCATTAAAAGTGTCTCCTAGTCCTAATATTCAGGAATCTCTAGCTTAACAAAATTCTCTATTAAATCAAGGGGATTCCGTGTGATTTTGTAATTTAGCAATGGAGAAGGTCCCCGAGCAGTGACCTTTACTCTGTGACCTGTACACCCGGCATCGATGGTATTCGTGACGACAGAACCAAAGAATTAAACAATAATAGAAAGGAATCATTGTTACTGTTTTATTTTTCTCTCGCGTATCCACTGCCAACTCATTAGCCTGTGTCAGACAGGTCCCAGCCACTCCTAAGAAGCTATATAAAAGTAAAGTTTATATTTTACAATATTTCGCGCACATCTCATAACTGGTTCAAAATATTTTTTAACTTATCATCTGAATTAAATTTTCAAGTTCGAAACGACATAGGGGTAATCGCTTTCAAACGCAGTCAAAAGAAGATTGAGTTGTGAGATTTACCCGATTAGCTTGCGTGGCAGGCGTTCCAATATCCGGGCGCCGGCGTGGCAGTTGTCCCTTTCGTATGCGGTCGCTGCCATTTTTAAGACAAAAATGATAACTTTTGACATGTTGAAAGCGTTTCTATTAAAAAGAAAGAAAACTGCAACCCAGGGTCGAATCTGGACCTCGAACCCGGACCTTTCGTATCCTTATCTCTCTCCTACTGACTAGTGTGACCCGCCAAAATTCCGGAAAATTGCATGTAAGTACATCACTAGCAAACTGTCTTTCTTAACTGTTACGTCAATAACAAATGTAGCCTGCGACGTTTCTCCTCGCTCATCGCTGCTAAGGGAATCTCAGCGGCGATGAGCGAGGAGAAACGTCTGCCGCTCGCAAGCTATAACAGATGACCTTAGCCCTTCCCATAATGAGCTATAATGGAAATATATTACATACATCATGCCTAAAGGCTTAGTTACCAATTGTGGCAATGGCAACGACCGTTTACGGATGGGAATAGGCGCCGGCGTAACCGTACCCGCTTGGACCGGAGTCACACAAGGGCTCCCGGCGTTGGAAGATTTTTTTTTTTTTCGTTCACATCTCATAACTCCTCTCTGACTAACGTGAAAAAAACACATTCACTGTCAAATATGGTCAGTGGTGTGGGGGACTGGGCGACTCGTTCCCAAATCTCACTCCTCATGGATGCCAGACAGTCTCTCTTTGTACAACTGCAGATCTCTTTCTGAGGCAATTACTGCCATCGTTCCATTTTTTACTGCCTTGGCGACATTGACTGTAAGATAAGAAAAAACATTCGGATTGTCAAATCTGTGATCTGAGGTGGAGGACATCTTTACAAATGTAAGTTTATAATTTATGGTAAGACATCAGTTCTAACAAAGGATTACGAAGATGCAAATCAAGTGCAGGTGGACTGAATGGGTAGCAGGACTGTTTGATAAATATAGGGATCTATAGGTACTACAATGACGTTTATAGCAAGTATTGATTCTTTACATGTAATTCTTGATATTCAAAATTCTTATTCGCTTTGTCGGCCTTTCTTTTTGTTTCAATCAATCAATGAAACTTTAATTTGTAAAATAGGGTAACACCTAAATATAGTTAGACAACTATTAACTTGTGGCCCTCTTAATTAGTAACATAAATTACAAGACCAAAAATAATACATAAGAGAATACAAGACATAGAAGCTAAACTAAAAGATAAGTACATATTACTACATAATCAACCGGTCTGTCGATTTTCAGTCGAGAAAGTGCTAGTGTTGGAATGATTTCAGCTGTTACTTTTTACATTATCGGTGGGGCCAAGGCAAACCAATTATTAAAACCGGTTGTTTCAAATTTCTTAGTATTAAAAGGAAAGAAAAGTTTCATATGAGTGTTGAATATAATGGTCCATTTCTCACCATCTAATGTGGTATCAACCACTAAATCTTGTGGAAATTTGATAACGTCCATTAGATCATGGAGATTGTCGAAGAAATTGGTCACCAATTTTTGCTCTGGTATGGGGAGGTGGAATTTTTGTTGGATGGCTGAGGACATTTTTGTAAGTAGCATCACAGGTTCACATGTTGCTGGTAGTTCTTTGTCTGAAATTTAAATAGAGCAAAATAATTTGATTAAAAATAATTAAAAATTTTTTAATTATTTTTTTTCGCATTTTGGTTCTGATAAACTGCCTAAAAACAGAGCAGACCGAAGGTTAACACTCAGTGTAAAAATGTACGTAGTGTCTAACATGTAGTGAAACCTGTATTAAGCGGACAGCTTCGAACCTTCCCAAGTGTCCACTTAATAGAAAAATGCAAAGTCTGCTCTGTTCATTTCCATTTTTTCTTAGTAACCAACCAACTTGTGTATAAAAGCACATGCTGGCAGCAACACTAATTAATCCAATTTAACAGTCTCATCTTGTGATGGTAAAATAGCCAGAGAAAGAAATTTGCGCCTGACTAAGATTCTGACATGGAAATTCAAAGAATTGAAAAAAAGCAAGCAATAATTTTATTGTTGGCTTCCTTATATTGTTGTGTGCAGAAGGTCACCGGTTTGCATAAATGCATATACATGCTGTTACCATTACATTTCTTAAGTCTAGGAATGTTATAAATACCTGTCACTTTGTGTGACCTGATGGTAGTTTCCTTCAGTAAAACTGCGTCAGCTTCCAGGTTGAGCTCCTTTGCCAGTCCAAACAGCCCCCCCAGCTGTTCAAAGGAAGTAAAGATGGCAAATACTTGCCTTTGGAGCTGTCTGGACTGGAATTTTTGAATGATTACTCTTATCTCATCCTTGGAGAAGCTCTAAGTTGGAATTGTATTAATAGTAAAATTAGAATAATAGATTAGATTAGAATTAGAAGTGTCCTTTTAAAATGGAGATGTAATCCTTTAAACAGGCTAATTACGTTCATGCAAGTTCTCCCTGATTTGCTGAGAGAACTGAAGGGAGGATAAGATCGATAAAAAAATACCACTTAGGCAACAATTGCAATCAGGTCTCATAAACTGTCCTCTTGGTGGCACACTGATAAATAAAAATTATTGATCTCGGTTTGGTTAAAAGCACATAAATAAAAATGCTTTGTTTATCAAGAAAGAAATGAGCAAGAAGCCATTTTCTTTTTCACAATAACTGAGAGAATCCCCATGCGCTAAGGTCGAGAGCTATGCTCTATGAGAGTATAGACAATGGAAATGACGTAACATGTCATGCATGATTTTCCAAGAAACTTTGGAGGAAACTAAAATTACATGAAGTTGTAAAAAACAAATCGACCACAATTTTCCATGATTTACACTCTTATAGACCATAGAAATGATATGCTATAAAGTGTTCAAAACTTTGCAGTGAAACCACTCACCTGCGGCTCGTGGTTGCACTTGAGTTTTGTACATTTCATAACTGCATGTCATTTCTATGGTCTATAAGAGTGTGGATTATGGAAAATTGTGGTCGATTTGTTAAAAGGAGTATGCCAAATGCAGACCACTGTTGGTGAAAGCAGTCACTGTAAATTTTGTATTCAAAATATTATAAGATTGGTATATAGATAATTCATATGAGACAAGACATGTAATCTTACCTCATCACTGTTCACACACTCTGCTACAATCACTTCAGCTTTGACTTTCGGTGGGTCTAGGGCTGTCCCTACCAACATGGAAACTTTGGTTCCTTCTGCCTCCCAGGTTAAGATGTCTGCAGAGTCCTCCTCCTGTCCCTCTTCTTGTTCATCCTGCAGTTTTAGAATAAATTCGTATAGCAGAGCAGGCACTTTTTCGATGTCGTCAAATCTGAGGGAGAAGTTAAATTTATGTTAGAACAACATGAAAACTCCATCCCTGTAAATGAAACCGGCGATTATCTGCAGAGCCGGGATGTTGAAGGCTGTGTCAAGGTAACACAGGGTTAGTGTAAACTTTCAATTTAGATAACTAATATGGAAGCTTAACATATAAAATTAGTTATAATTCTTTTTGGCTGCAATTTGATCATTTGGATGCTCTAAAAGAATGACAGACCTTCTGAGGGGACTAAAATTTTAAATAACATCAGTCTATGTTCCCGTCTATATTAGTGAGCTCACTAGTACTTAATAACAGTGTAACATAGCTATTTATCTATTTAGTTCTCGTACCATAGCTAAATGAGTATTTACCACTTACTTAATGCTATGCATTCTTATTAAAAAATAACTAACGTATTTGTGGCTATTCTTCCCGCAGCTGCATGTAGTTTACGCTCAATGAACTGATGTGTAGTCATTGAACCACTGGTGTGGTTATTGATCTGTTGTCTACTTATTGAACTGCTGTGTCGTTATTGAACTAACAAAACAGAAAGCTGTGTCGTTATTGAACTAACAAAACAGAAAAATGACAGCACAGCGCGGTTGTTTTCAGTGTCCTGAGGACTGTGAATATCATAATAAAGTATTTTCGGTAATTTTGAATCTTGGTTTGTTTTTCAACCTCTCTGCCAACTTACCCTATTTTATTTCAATGACACGTCCACATACATCCTCAGAGGAGAAGCGTAGAACCAGGCTTTTAGCATGAACAAACACAGGACTGAAGTCGGTATGCCACGCATGAAATTCAAGACTGTCACCCTGGTATGCCGGGCAAGAAAACTAAGTTGGTACTCAGGCTTTCGCAACAAAAGTCGGCATGCCGGGCATGTCAGACTTGAAATTCAATGCCCGGCATGCCGGGCATGAAAACTAAGTTGGTACTCAGGCTTTCGCAACAAAATCAGCATGCCGGGCATGCCAGACTTAAACTGGCGAAAATCGGCATGCCGGGAGTGAAGGTTGGTGACTTTCGCGGCGCAAGATCATTGGCGCCCAGGCTTCTCTCGTGCGTGCTGTGTCTGTACACTCTAATTTACGACATCCAGGGCATGCCAATTTCTACATCATGCCGCTTACAACGTTAAACTCCCTAAGCTTGCCCCTCTAGCTTTAGTAAACAAAAAATGGGGACGTCAAGCATGCGAAAAATCGCTGCATGCCACACGTTATCGAAAGCACAGCAGAGATGCCCCATTTTATTCAGTCATGCCCTTGGAAAGGCCAAAAAGTCCCACTTATCCTGTTACGCGCGGGTAAAGTTTCCAAATACAGCATGCACCCATGCCGTCAGATAATGTTTTCTTCCTCTTGTAGATATCAGATGGTTAGTTACTCATGTTTTACGTCTCCAGAGCCTGAAATGACGCAAAATTCATGCCCTATCAGACAAAGGTCATCAAAATCCTACGAAATTTTACTTTCCAAGCCGTTTTGTGCGCTCGGTCACAACTGAGCACAAGGAATAAGACTCTGCAGCTGATAAGGTTCACTAGGAGAACCGAAACCACGACTGATCTAAAAAGTGCTCTAGCAAAACAGCCGCTACGCTGTGAAGCTAATTACCAAAGGAAGATTTATTACAGCATCAAGCTCAAAGAACCTCAGTTTACAACGGCAGTTACAAATAAAATTAAACCTATCGATGCGACCATCAATCCTCTGAAGCACAGTCTACCCGGTATTGACTCAAGCAATCTTCAGGGAAATCTCCTGGCCACAATACTGACCTGTTCTTTTGAATAAATAAAGTTTCTGATGTTTCTTTTTCAAATTCTGAGCAGTCTTGTTCAACGCTGTGCAGCTTGCATGCTGCGTCGCACCTTTCTTTGGGCTCCTATCACACTGAAACACACCATTATTCACCGCTCCTTGTTCTAATTAAAATAATTATAGTCAAATTCCTTTTAAAAATAACCACAAGGTGATTGCTTCGGTATAAAGCGCTTTCGAAAGCGCCCAACAGATTGTAGCCTTCAGCAGACTTTACACATACATTATCTGTATTATCTATCACACATGCCGTTGAAATGTGATCGAAGATACGAAATTTCAGCCATCTTTGGTCGATAAAAAACTCCTCAAAATGAGTACTTCTTAGTCTGTACAATATTCAGGACTTCATTTCGCTGGTGTGGGGTCCACATTTGGAAGACTTTAACATATAATCCAAAAAATCGTGAATATTCATGACCTTGCTGTACGTTAACGAATTTTCTGACTTTTACCTTTTCCTTTTTATCAACTGTAAATCATTTAATGTGACTACTGAGCTGAATGAAAAGAAAAACTTTTACCTCAAACAATTCAAAGGGCTTTTGCCTGGGAAACTTCCAAAGTCCTTTTGAAGCAATAGGAAGCAAAGGATCCAAAGGTCTGAGCTGGATCTTCGGGGGATTTTATACCCTGCGACTTGGCAATGAAGGCAGGCATGTATCATTCACGCCTTCATCTTGTAATCTGACACGCGTTATTAACAAGCCAAAATTTTAGCGGAATTAGCACATTCGCAAGTAGCCTCCCACGCAGGCGTTTTTAGGGGAGCTCGTATTTCTTCCCTCCCCACAAACGCCTGCTCAACGGAAAACAACATTCCTTTCCCAAGCTTAGCCAATCACATTGTACTTTCCAAATTCTGGAAAGTTGACCTTGACCGCAAGGTAATCTGATAATTACTCGATCTGCATTAAACACTGGGAAAGCTTTCTGACCTGCAATAAATGTTAGATTCAGAGCGGCAAAAATAAGTTTTAGTCAAAATTCAGAATACTCCGTGCACTGCATAACCTTAGCGAAGGAAAGAAAAGAAGGAAAACGGTAACTCTAAGGTCACGTTCAGTCGTGTTTAGCCTGTCAACACTTCATTGCACAATTGTTGATTGGTCACCTACCACGCAAATAAAACAATGAGAAAGGAATGTTGTTTTCCGTTGAGCAGGCGTTTGTGGGGAGGGAAGAAATGCGAGCTCCCCTAAAAACGCCTGCGTGGGAGGCTAATTCGCAAGGAGCACAATTTTTCTGTTTCACTCTTTTAATTGGCAGCTAGTTTGACCTGCATTGACTAACAACAACTCAAAGGTCTCAAAATTGTCTGAGAAGAAATTCTTAACACATTGGCATATTCTACTTCCACAGTTTCCTATTATTATTTTTCCTGTCTAAAGTTGGTTTGTTTTCTGCGCTTTCAGCAGTAGAATAGACACACGAAAGTGTAAAGGTTTTGGTGGAGCACTTCCGTAGTCAAACTGGGGAGTTGGGAGTAGAGCCAGACCGTCGACGGGAAGCGGTTACTAAATATCCCTTCAACCTTTATCTCTTACCAAGAAAGGGTAACTAATTAAAGGTTGATTATATCTTCTTGTGCTAAAATTGTTTTCAGTATATGTTACAAAGGGAATAGATTTTTTATTAAGTATATAATTTTTGAAAGGCTGACTCAAATAAAGTCTATACTTTTTTTCAGTCCTCACAGGTCACTATTGGCCTGGAGAGGAATATGCCGGAATAGCTTCCTTTCACAGGATCCTCGAGTTGTTATCAAATCCAGAATTTTCGAATTCCTACAGCTCAACTAATTCTTATACATGATGTTGAAAGGAAACACAAACCAACAAATGATTCAATCCGGCCAAGAATATGAGTTATGATTGACAGTTTATTGAACCTAATTTTTGACCCAAAATAAATTCTACTATTATAATCGTTTATTTCGCCCTTTGCAAGGTTGTCCACGAGAATCCTGGATGCCATATTGCTGTGAATTCCGTATTCCATGTACTAGAGCTGAATTCTAGATTTCACAAGCAAACATTCCGCAAT